TATTTGTCTGATAATGGCTTGAAGAAATGTGTATACACAGTTGGGCTAAACAATTTTCTTCAACTTAGAGAATCTTGAGATATCTTACTAGTTTCAAAATTTGATCTGTGTTGATGGTTGACTTTTTGGCTGTCAAACAATGATGTTTTTCATGTTTAAGTCTCTTACACTTTAGTTAATTATGACTAGATTATTTTATTTAAAGAAAAATTGAGTAGATTACTTTTAGTAATTAATTAGCTTTTCGTGGCAAGTTTATGTTGTGTTTAAGTTATTTGTTTTTACAAGCACAGTATATTTGCCACTATTGGATGTTGATTAGCTGTAGTCAACCACATTCTTGTTTTGAGGAAGTTTAACAAAGATGAAGTTCAGTTTTTAGTTCCAGGATATTCCCTATCCTTCGTTCGTTTTATCTCAGTTGGCTGTGTTCTTTGTTTTCCTTCCGGTTTCCTTTTTTATCCAACACACACACACACACAGAGCTACAAAGTGGTATCAGAGCTTATATGCTGTTTGAGGGATTAGAAATAGGACCCTTTTTCTGCTGCAAAACCACTGGAGACCAACTCACCTGAGTAAGAACTTTTTGAACATGGCTTCGGTTTGGTCAGGGAGCATTTTAATGAAGAAAACTATCAATTTTCAGTAGTAAGAATGAAGACTCTTTTGAATGGGACAGACCTTTCTGAAGTTGTAAAAGTTGGTGATGATCCTCCTTCCTTAAGAGCAAACCCTACTGTGACAAAAATGAAGCACCAATAAAAAGGAGTACAAGGCCATTTCGTTCATTCACTCAGCTATTTCTGAAACATCTTTGTAAAGATCATGTCATGTGAAATGGGCGAAGAAGCTTGGGACAGGATCAAGGAGGAGTTCCAAGAAATTGAGAACACCAAGAAATGCAAATCCTCAACCTAAGGAGTGAGTTTGAGGTCCTTAGGATGAGTGAAGCAGAAACAACCAATGAGTTCACGGATAGAGTGATGAAGATTGTCAATCACGTGGGGATGCTTGGAAAAGAGAGAATGGGTAAGAGGCTGGTAGAAAAGTTGTTAGTGAGTCTTCTCGAGAAGTTTGAAGCAAAATTTCCTCTCTCAGAGTCTCAAAGGATTTTTCCAAGATAACCTTGGCAGAACTTGTGAATACCTTGCAAGCAACCCAAAAAAGGAGATCCTTGAGGATAAATGAGGCTTTTGTGGTGATGAACAAATGCAAGGCTCAAGGAAACATTGCTGGATGCAGCAAGGGAAAGAAGAAGAAACAAGAAGGCAACAAAGGACACGGAGAAGAAAAAATTTCCTCCATGTCCAAATTGCAAAAATACCAGCCACTTGGAGAAATACTGTTGGTTTAGGCCTGGAATCCAATGTAGGTATTAAAAGACCCGTGGATCTGTGGAAGAGGTGCATAAGCTAAGAAGACACAAGTTGGGTAGAAGGCTAAAGTGGCTGAAGAGGAGCATTGTTTGCGGCCAGCTGCTACTCAACCTGCTCAAACAGCCAAGCACAGTTGACTGACAGTGGCTGCAGTTACCATATGTCACTTGAAGAGAGTCTATCAAAAAGGCTGAATAGATCTTACAACTCAAGGGTCAATATGTTAATGGAGAATACCTGGAAGTGGAAGGACAAGGAGGTTTGGCATTGACAACTCTAAATGGTATGAGATCTAATTTGCTGTTAGTGCCTAAGGTTGATCGAAATCTGTTGAGTGTTGGCCAAATGGTTGAGAATATTATTCTTTGGTTTTCTAAAGCAAGTCTTTCCCTATGCTAAACCTAAGTGGATATGAGGTGATGTCGTTGAAGATGAGGGGTAGGAGTTTCTCTTTGAAATGGAACCTTGAGTACTAATGGTTTGACGGAGGATGCTGCCATTTGGCACAAAAGGTTTGGACACTGTAATATGTAGTCTCTCAAGGACCTATAACGGAAGAAAATGGCAGAAAAATGCCAATCTTTAAGGAACTAATTGATGTTTGTGAAGTTTGTGAGCTTGGGGGCAAGCTTTTTCAAAATATCAAGCACGGAGAGCAACCAAAAGACTTGAGCTCATCCATATTGATGTATGTCGCCCTGTGAGTACTTGTTCCTTGAACGAACATAACTATTTCTTTGTCTTCATTGGGAGGAACAGTAATTCCATATTCCTCTCTCTCTTTGTTAATTATACTTTATTTTCTATCAAAGAGGATAATACTTACGTTTATGATGAATCATGAATTTAGTTTAACTAGGAGATCATGTAAATCTGATCCAAAATGACAAAAACTTGGCCTTACAAAAGAATTGGTGGAGTCGGAACAATGTTCTAATTCTATCACTTTTAAGCAATTTTCATAATCTCTTATTCGATTTAAATATGGATTTCCAAATGGATTCCTGATTGTTTTTTGATTGAAAAAGAATTATTATTCAAGATGAGAATGATATTGTTACAATGACAGAAAATAAGATATCCTCCTAGAGCCTTCTAGGAGAAAATGCAAAAACACAAAAAGGACTTTCAACTGAACCCACTGAGTTTAAAAAATTATCGCCTCTCAGTTTCTGTGTAACACAGAAAATAGTAATATCTGAAACTTTCTT